AAAAAAAAAAAAAAATTATGAGGCTAAGATTTATTAACTAGCGGTGGTGGAAGCTATCCGAGTTTGGAGCCTTTTCTTCTGGCAAGAAATTTTCAGATTGTAACGGACCAACAACCATTTAAGCATTTGATGGAACAACGAATTGTCACTCCGGAGCAACAAAAGTTTGTGTCAGAGTTAGTGGGATTCGACTTTGAGATTTGTGGTAGACCGTGTCGACAAAACTTGATATGGATGCTTTGTCACGTCGAATCGATATGGCTGAACTTCAAGTTCAAGCCATTTTTGGACCTACTTGGGCTATATGGGATCAATTACGAAAGGCAAATATTCAAGTTGCCTTTTGTAATGATGTTCGTAGAAAGATGGAAGCTCAAAAGGAAGATGTTTAAAATTATGATCTCTATGGTGGGTTGTTATTATATAAGGGTCGGGTGTAATCGATCACTTGAGACGTGAAATTATACAATATTTTCATGAATCCAAGTTGGGGGACATTCCGGAGTATATCGTGCGTGGACACGACTATCAAATACTTTTTATTGGCCCGGGGTAAAGAATGAAGTTCGAGAGTTCGTGACAAAGTATGATGTTTGTCAAAGGGTGAAATCAGATTCTAGAAAGTCGGGTGGATTATTGCAACCTTTACCGGTACCTGAAAGAATATGGGAGGATATAACGATGGATTTCATTGAAGGATTACCGTTGTCGAATGGGTTCAATGAGGTTATGGTGGTCGTCGTCTAACCAAGTATACACACTTCATTCCTATAACTCACCCATATACAACTAAGTAGGTAGCAAATTGTTTGTAGAATATGTGGGGAAGTTCCATGGAATTCCACGGTCCATTATGTCGGTTAGAGATCGAATATTCATGAGTAGTTTTTGGAAAGAGTTTTTCAAAATGCAAAGGACCGAGTTGGCCATGAGTTCAACATATCATCCTCAAACGGACGAGCAAACGAGGTAACCAATTTTATCCTTGAACAATATCTTAGATTCTATGTCCATGATTTTCCAAAAAAGTAGGAAGGGATTCTACCATAGGCTTAATTTTGGTATAACACGTCTTATCATGCCTCGACTAAGTTTACTCCTTCGAGTTGGTTTATGGACAGGTCGCACCTACATTGGTTAATTACCCGTTGGGAAAGTCTCCAAATGATGAGTAGATCGTGAGCTAATGGAGCGAGATCTTATAATTCGAGAGCTCAAAAGTAATTATATGGGTCGATTAACCGAATGAAAGAGTACTATGATAAGGGTAAAAGAGAGGAATGATTCGAACCGGGCGATTGGGTTTACTTGAAGCTTCAACCTTATCGTCAACAGACGATCTCTTAAAAGGCTCTATTCAAGTTGGGAAGTCGTTTCTATGGTCCATATCCAATCGTAGAACGCGTGGGTGAAGTGGCTTATCGACTTGATCTACCGGCAGAAGCTCAAATTCATCTGGCAATTCACGTGTCTCAACTCAAGAAAACTTGAGTGGAAGTCAAGGAGTTTAAACCAGATTGCCGGCGGTGAATTCCGAAGGCACTTTGATTGTACGTCCAACACCTGATTGGATCAGAGGGTTAAAAAGGTTGGTCGCTTCTGTTGGGAAGTCTTGATCGAGTGGGACAATTTACCGGAAGAGGAATCAAACTTAGGAGAATTTACAGGAGATGCGGGTTCAATTTTCAGATTTTGTCCTTGAGGACAAGGACACTATTGAATGGGACGGGAATGATGCGTATGAGGTCGTCGGTTGAAGAATTCTTATAACCGGGCTCGACGTGCACGAATCAGAGAACAACAAAGGGGACTTTGTCCAGAGGCTAGCGCCGCTAGTGGACCTAGCGGCGCTAAGGTCGACTAGCTAGCGGCCTGCTAGCGCCGCTAAACCCCCTAGCGAACGACATAGGGTTTCAACATTAAAGGTTAGCGGCACTAACCCCCTAGCGCCCTTGTAGTTATGAAGGCGAGAGTAGTTTTTATCCTCGTTTTTCTTTGTTCAATTTCATTAGTTATTTTTTTTCTTAGCAGGGGTCGCGCGAACGCAGGCCCCTACGACCACAAATTATGACGTAAGCTCGACCACTTGGGCCGACCTTAGGCGGGCGCCCCTCCCAAGTGCAATGGAGGTCGCCAACCTAGGCCATGGGCTTTCTTGATCACCCATTGACCCCGTCCAGGTAAGTTAGTTTAATATTATATATATATGTGGTAGAACCTTGTAAGGACATTATTATTATCTTTGCTACAAAATCACAAAAACCTCATTTTTGAGCACCAACCCGTGCCAACATCAAAGCCGATAGTTCGAGTTTTGATAAAAATTTAATATTGGATACACGATTTGTAACACGCAATCCAAACAAATCAAGAAACTGATTTAATACGACACCGTATTCGTGCCACCACTATAAATCCTTAACAAACCCTAAGTTTCAGCACAGCGCACACAAAGACAGCAGAACAGGAAAGCGGCGAAGGGAAAATGAAGTACAACCCGCGCGTGTCCTCTTCCCGGCGCAAGAGCCGAAAAGCTCACTTCACGGCGCCGTCCAGCGTCCGCCGCGTCATCATGAGTGCGCCGCTGTCCAGTGACCTCCGCTCCAAGTACAACGTCCGCTCGATGCCTGTCCGCAAGGACGACGAGGTTCAGGTTGTCCGGGGAACTTACAAGGGCCGCGAGGGTAAGGTAGTGCAGGTCTACCGCAAGAAGTGGGTCATCCACATAGAGCGCATCACCCGCGAGAAGGTGAACGGATCCACCGTCAATGTCGGCATCAACCCCTCCAAGGTCGTCATCAATAAGCTCCGCCTCGACAAGGACCGCAAGTCGCTTCTCGAGCGCAAGGCCAAGGGACGCGCGGCCGCGGATAAGGACAAAGGGACCAAATTCACCGCTGAGGATATCATGCAAACCATCGATTAGTAGGTTGGTTCCTTAGTGTTTTACTATCAGTCTGTGTTGAATTTTGGATCTTTATGCTTCTGAAATGCTGTTGCGAGTATGAGAGGAAGACTTTATTGTACTCTATGTTATTGGGATAAACCTTGGTTTTGTTTTCTTTCAGTGCAATGCTGATCTTTATGAGTTTTTGAATGTTCTGTTAAGTTTTGTATTTATATCTATGTTACTAAAATTATTGTGAGTTTATAGTTTCTGGGTTTTGATATCAGCCTGTATGGATTGTGTTTATTACATGTTTGGCCTCCAGTTTTTGATATCAGCTTGTATGGGTTTTGATACTTGTTGGGATATTCATTGTGGATGGGGTTCATAGTTTTCTGCACTTCAAACAAGTGAGATATTTATTTTGTCTGAACCTCTGTTTAGAGTAGGAGCTATTGTAGAAAGTCCAAAGATTCATATGATTTCTTTACTATGCTTCCATAGTTGCAAGTTCCCCAGTATCTTAAGGGTCTGAATTGATTTTCTTTATTTGATTTGTTTAATTATGAATGCCCATTGGCCGAGGCTTGAGGCTTGCTATTTGCCATTGGCAATTGACCGAGACTTGTTTGATGAATCAGTTAGCCATCAGCTTTGACTAGCCAGCCTTCCATCTGTTTGTGTTGCAAATACATTTTGTTTTCGTATCATGTATGTTAGTTGACCGGTGGTTCTCATACAGTCTAAACTAAAATAGGATCTTGAATAGCCTTTTGTTAAGTCGTGCTTTGTATTGGACTAATTTCTGCTCCTTTTAGTTTTCTCAAGCTCGAGTTTAGCTTTTCTACTTGGGGTTTTGCAAAATGCAAACCAATTCAATTTTGGGCTTCCGTTTCTTGCGCCTATTCAATGGATGTGTACATGAATAGTATGAAGTTGTTACTACGACTTTGAGGGTATATAACCTTTTGTATTGTATATATCATGAAATCGTCACACCATGAATGTCATCATATGTTGCATGTTCATGTAATATGTTCTGGAAATACCCCCCTACAGATTTCAAACAAAATACGTTTGTTTTGGTTTTGTGTTACATGTTAATGTGCCCTTGTGGATGAATTTTCTAATCTATTTTGTTCATTTCAATCATCCCAAACTAAAACTCTGTGCACGCTTGAGATCGGCCATTTCTGCACCAATCATTCACACAAACTCAAACTGCTACTCAAATAGTTGTTTGCAATTGTCGAAATTGATAGAACTAAAGAACATGCATTACTGCAAGTCCCAGAAAAGCCCCAAATTTCACAAGAAAACCTAATCCTCTAATCGGCCGTGAATCGTGACTTCCCCCTGCTTCCTCCGAACCGTGCGGTCGAATTTTGGAGACTCGTCGGAAGTGGAGGCGGCCGTTTCCTTGGGCGAGATGGGGGGTCCTCCTTGGGTTTCGCCTTCTTGCAGGTTGCCAAAGTGGGTCGGGGTCCGGTGTTTCCTCGAAGTCTAGGCGGTGGCGGCCTGCCGGCGAGGCTGCGATTAAAAACGAAGCGAAGCAAAGTGTACTTTAGAAGCGAAATTCAGTCATAAGTAGTCAGTTTAGAAGCGAAGTGACCCCTCGGAGGTAAGCGGGGTGGTAGTCGGGGTTGTGATCAGGGCGGTTTCACTCTCCTCCCATTTTGAAGTGACCCCTCGGAGGTAAGCGGGGTGGTAGTCGGGGTTGTGATCAGGGCGGTTTCACTCTCCTCCCATTTCCCGTTTTGCGATGCTTTTGGGGCCTTTAAGTTGTGTTAGCGGAGTCTGCTTGGGTCGGGGTGGGGCCTTGTGTCCTGGACCTGGGTTGTCGGGTCTTGGGAGGTGGAGTATGTGAATCTCCGGTTGCGGGAGTTGGGGTTATCTACCCGAGCAAGGGTTTGGGTCCTTGCAATTTCTAGTTTTGCGGCTTGGACCGGATCTTGTCTGTGTGGGTAGTCGGCCTTGGGTGTCGGCGTCGTGGTGTTCGGTTTGGCTACAATGTTGTGGGAGGGGCTTTAGTTTTAGTTGTTTTTTTTTTCTTTTTTTTTTGTGTGTTTGTGTTGTGTTGTAAGTGTGCATTTGTGTTTTTCTCCATTTGGGGAGCTTGTATTCTCCTGTTGGAGAGCATTTTGCTTTTCCGTTGGATTGTGTTGTGTCATTTAGGCTACCTATGGTAGGCCTTCTTTTTCCGGCTACTGAGTCGGTTGTGAGTACGTGTTTTAATAATGAATTCCATCGTTCGAAAAAAATGACATTTGAGTAAATAAAAATATACAGTTTACACAAAACACAAATATGGGCTTCAAAATATTGCATTCTTGCTCCATTGAAACAAATTAGGGCACAACTTGTGCGATCCACGATTGTATTTAATCATTGAATTACATAAAGCGAATATTATTATACGATAAAAGAATTATTATACATAGAGTTATCAGATTATATATTCCTGGCCATAAAAAATTCTTTACACTATTACTCAAAGTCCTTAATGAACGTAGAAATATTTACCGCTCGAATCAAACCAGTAACTCGACTATCAAACAAATAACTTGACCACCTATAGAATAAATTGTAGAATAATAATAACTCGACCATCAAACAAATAACATGATCACCCTATAGTGTAAGTTGTAGAAAAATAATTAAGAGTTCATAAAATGTATCGATATGTATCAATGGTGAACAAACTGAAGAATATTTTTTCCAACATGTTTTTGTAGGATATCTCAAATGTTCTTTCGAACATTCTATTTCCAACATGTTTTTGTAGGATGACTCTCATATTTTTTCTTTAAAACATTTGTACGACCTGTAGATTCAACATTGTTCTGGTGGACCTGCTAACTTGCTTTATTGGACCCCATTGTTAGGGATGTTGGGGCAGGTCGGGACTGGTAGTTCAATACCCGGACATGCCCCGCGACCCTAGGCCAGTGCCCCGACCTGGCCCGTGACCAGCCACGGGTCCAGGAAGGCCCTCCCGTGAATTGGCTCGCGCCGGGGCGAGCCGCCCTGCCCTAGCCGGCCTCGTCCCTTTTGTTTTTTTTTTTTAGCCCCGCCCTGACCCGCATAGCCTAGTTCGTCTAGATAAATGACAAATATAGCATATATCAACAAAGCTATATTATATATCCACACTATAATTAATGAACTAAAATATCCAAACTGAAAAGGAATTTCATCCAAAAATTACCTCTAGAGACGGCGAGACGGAGGCTGCAACCTTAAAGACGGCGTGTCGAGGCGAGGCGAGACGGTGGATGGTGGGAGAGTCAAGACGATGTGACGGTGGGAGAGGTGAGAGCCGCGAAACAGTGTGGTGGTGTCGGCGGAGAGGCGGACAGTGGCTGGTGGCTTGGCTGATTGGATTAATTTGAGATGAAGGAGAGGTCACACCGTCGTCCGTCGCAGTTCACAAATCTGAAATCACACTCAGCGCCGAAGAGACGGGGTGTTAATACACAATTTTAGCCTCAACTAATTAAAATACTACACGTGGATATATATTAAATATAAGGTTCTTCAATTTATTTATTATTATTATGTTTCTAGAAGTCAAGATCGCCCGCACTAGAACCAATCAGAATTCTATGTCGTCAGCCCGACCGAGATATGCAAAGAAGTCGTCTTGACAGACACAGTAATTGCTGACAAGATAAATACCAATTGAAGGAGTTATTTATTATAATAATTGGACCCTGCGCGGTCACATTTGATTTATTACATTTGTTTTTATAAAATATTGTAAAGGTCCAACATATATAAGGACCCATTAGACACCAAAGCCCACTAGATGTAAAAGCCTTAAATATATATGTGTGAATGGGCTAAAAGGGGGCTTTGACTTTTTTTTTTCCTCATCTTTAAAAACAAAAGGCGGTGCATGGGGGGAGGGCTCTCCTTATCTTGTTCCTTCCTTAGGCAACAGAAAGAGAGAGAGAAAAATATATACGGCTTCAATTTTCCTTCAATTTCTTCAATCTTGATAATCAATTTCACACAATCCTCCCTATATATAATTCCCGAATGCGCTGAGCCTACGTGGCTGCTTCTGGTGCTTCGGAATCCTATTTGGCGAAGAATCATGCTTCGTAATTAGGTTTGGATAAATAATATTGATATATTAATAATTAATAATCTAGGTTCGGGTATTCCATAAATATTATTTAGCTAACTTAGGTATTTTAATATCACTTTTACTAATATAACCCTTTAATTTTTTGTAATTTTACATAGTGAGATACTAAGTGACTAATATATCCCTGAATTTTGATTTGTTTCCTTCAAAAAGCTATTGAATTATAAATGTATTTTAAAAGTTGATAACTTTTGTATTTCTTATCGGTTTTACATATATAATATATCAAATTAATCATCTTTTGATGATCTTCGATTTGACATCCATATTGTATATATGAAATAAATAAATTATATTTATCTTTATAATAATAAAAAAAATAATATTTATTAAAATTCATTAGAAAAATAAAATTATTTCTCAATTGATATATTTATATGTAATGTAGTTATATATTGTAAGTTAAAAAAATTAGTATAATATAACACAAGTAAGTTGTACAAATAAAAAGTGTCATAATAAATATATAATAATATATATATTCTTGTAAAAGATATTTAAATTTTCAAATTACTTTTTCTCATTAATTTTTTATTTAAAAAAAAAAATTAGCAAGCACCCGTGTAATACACGGGTGTTGTAATAGTATTCAATATACGTACAATTCCACCAATACCCTATGTTGATACAATTCCGTGTATCAACATGGGGGTTGAAAATGAAAAGTGGAAAACCCTACTGATATAGGATATTATACCCACAAGGCTAAACCGGTCTATTTACCGGTCGAGGAGGTCGTAGTATGAGGAAGTCAAGGAAATCGAGCAGTTAACCAATTGACCAAGCAAAGCTGTTGACCAAACTATCCTTCGATCAGATGAGCGATCGAGCAGCTCAGTCGACCTTGATAGGTCGACCACTTCGAGGACTTAACACCACGCTGATC